TCACTTATACAATTTATATACGGTCAAATTATAAGGTAAGTTACAATTTCTTTATTTTGCTGAAAATGCAGATTCTCAACTGCCCAGAAGTTGGACAAACTTGGGATGCGAGGAAGTGATACGTAAGTTTATCTAAAATAATAGGAGTAATAAGTAATTAAGTTGAACTGTTCAAATCATAATTACGCGGAATGCATCTTGCTGCTAAAGAATATTTATTGGTACTAAACGTTCTTGCTATTTTTCTACTAATTATTTCACTGCTTTTCTACATTGCAAAATCAATGGGAAAAAAAAGACTATTTTACACACAAAAGTATGTTGTACAAAAATTTCTTCCCCTCTATGAAATTATTTTGGTCTCATTGGAGCCTAACAATTGGCTGAACTCAAAATTACAGGTGTGAACTTGTATTTGAGAATTGCTTTGTCCCTAAAGAAAATGTTCTAGGCCAGGAAGGAAAAGGTAAGAATTTTTTTAATAATCTCAACATAAATTGTTTTAAAAAACTTTGGCAATGCGGTAATTTTGTTTTTTTAAAACTGAACAGGAGTCTATGTTCTGATGTCTGGGCTAGATTTAGAAAGAGTAGTTTTAGCAGCAGGACCTGTTGGAATAATGCAAGCATGTATGGATGTTGTTTTGCCTTACGTTCGACAAAGGGAGCAATTTGGAAAACCAATTGGCGAATATCAACTTATACAGGTACTACTGTATTAACTCGGTTTCACTATTATTATTTGGAGAGTCAAACAATTTTTTCTTCTACTCGTGTAGTACAACAAATATACTATATGGGATGATTTGATCTGATAGTGGCTCTGTTACATTAAAAGAAGTTTTCCCCTAAAAATGATGCTTGACATTTTCCTTCCAGGGAAAACTTGCTGATATGTACACTGCTTTACAATCTTCAAGGTCAGAATTTCATTTTAGAAGGGGGGGAGGAAAAAGTGAAGTTTAGGCAAAGAAACTAACAAATTCATGCAAATTTGCTAGCATTATTGAATATGAAACGAATTAAATCAATGTGTTTGTTCCTTTGTAGTATATTCTTACTTCTATGTTATATATAGTTGTTTTCCTTGGATATTTTTCAGATCATATGTCTATGCTGTTGCGAAGGACTGTGACAATGGAAAAATAGACCCAAAGGTCTTGACTATTTCCCACACCTACCATTTATTTTTCCCTTTTGTCATTTATATTAATCTTTATACAGAGAATAAAAATTTGAAGTATAGAAGTGTTTATAACTTACCCTCAGGATTGTTCAGGGGTCATACTTCTTGCAGCTGAAAGAGCCACTCAAGTTGCTCTTCAGGTGATAACCTAATTTTCCCTCTACAATTGTCAGTGTATATAATTTAAATCGAAGTCTAATAATATGACTAAGTGACCAATTGCAGGCTATACAATGTCTAGGTGGAAATGGATATATAAATGAGTACCCAACTGGACGTCTACTGAGAGATGCCAAAATGTATGAGATTGCAGCAGGCACTAGTGAAATCAGAAGAATTGTTATAGGTCGTGAGCTCTTTAAACATCAATAACTCCAAAATTGGTATTAATTAATGGACATGATTTCTTCTTAATTCCCAACAAAAATGCCATTATACTTGTAGGCATGATACCTGAGAATGTTTAATCTCTAATAACGAATTTCAGGTTCATATCCATATGCAATATATTGCTGCATATATAATAAATTCCATACAAAAGGTGACGGATATGCTTTTTGTCTCAATGGTTTTCACAGTAGAGCTAAAATTTATACCCAGAGAAATCTTGAAATAATTTTCCGTTTGGATAATCCTTATTTGCATATTTTGCGTCATTACAATTGGCTAAACAAATATAGCCAATCCGAGATGATATTTCGACCAGTAAACAACTCATTAAGATGCAACTTTACAATTTAGCTTAGGCATAAAATCTCATATGTTGATTCACAATAGGTAGTCTTACGTAAGCCAAGTTTAAAGTCTTGTGAGCGACAATAATATTCCACTTGAAATACTCTTCAAATCAGTTTTCAACCTCAAGTTAAAATTGCAAAACAAACATTACTTTGCAAATAATATTTCGAGTTTGAAGTTTGAACCATGCTCCAAGCTCATTCTGGCAACACAATTTTGGACGCTAAACCACCCAACAAATCCAAGACCATGAAAAATTACAGATAATAAAATAGAAATTATGAAACTCAGTTACCTCCAAGTCAAAACTTTTTGTTTTTTTATTTTTTATTTTGATTAAAAATTCTTCCCGTATGTACACCCTTAAACAATCCTAAAATGAAGTACAAGAGAAAACCACAAGGTAAAATCCCCATAGGAAAATTTTTGGTCGGCCTCGGAGGTAAGAATAACTTCACAGAGGCACTATATACAAAATTGGCCTTGAATCTTGATCATCTCTGAAAGGTAATTCGGCAACTTGAGCTCATTTTATGGACTGTAAGGCTTCAAAATTTGCGAGAGACAGTTCAATGAAGCTGAGAATCACGCATTGGCTAATGACCGGCCTCCTTCACGCTTGCAGTTGCCCCCCTGGCATGTTTGAAGTCATCCAAACTACGAAACTCATCTCTGAGTAGCCTATCCAGTTCCGGATGCTTCTTCAAAGGTGCTTTCTGACCTCGCTGCTGACGAAAATGGTGAAAAGCCCTTCAAGAAGGATTGCAGTAGGATCATGTTAGTATATCCGTGAGGTACAAGATAGTACCCAGTAATAACAATCACGTTAGTAAGAGCAAAATATACTAGCAATTGGAAGTCCTACAAAATCTTGAAATCAACAATAGCGTGTTAATCTACATATTATCTCCTAAAACTAACTCTACATCCGCCCTTTCACAACACCTCCCCAAACCTTCTTGCTTCTCCCTTGACACAGGGAAACAGTGGTCAGATGCATGTGCTCCTTTTGTCCATTGCCCCCTTCAGATATATGGGGCACCCTCCCAACTTTTTTTGACCGGTAACTTTGTCTGGGACCAACACTTAGGACCAACCGCAGCCTTCGAAACTCGGGGATGGTGGCGCGCCCCTCTACCCTTCTCCACTTAAATATCAGGCATAGTTTGCATGGCATAGGGCTCGAACATGTGACCTAAGTCACAAGTCCCTCAACCTTTGCCACTTGAACTAAGCCCTGGGGCCCCTCCCACTTTTTGTTCGATAATCACATAGAATTCAAGTCTAAGTTAGGTATAGGATTTGTTTTACTTAGTCGAAAGTGTTCAAGGGCTCAATTGGTACAGACGTTGATTTCAAGTTCATTATTGGTTCCCAGTTCTTTTCAGTCCCATGGGTGTCACTAAGAAAGCATGCGGGAGAAAAGGGAATGAAATGAGGATTTTCAAACAAAGTGAAGGTAATTACCAGTACTTTTCAAGGCCATAAACATTTCCTCTATTGTAAAAGTCAAGCGTCAATCTCTCGAAGTCCTCATAAAGATCCTCTCTAAATTCCTTTTCCAAACCATAACTGAAACAAGAAAAACAGTATAATGAGTGTCTAAAGAAAGTATGTCAGAGAAGGAAAGGGCAACTAACTGCTGAAAAGGGTAACTGCTGAAGTTGCATTACATGGAGGTGTATAAGAAAAGTACCAGCTGTAAGAGTTCAGAAGTAAAAGGGCAGCAAACTAAACTGTCATTAACAATGGGATGTAAACCATACCCCTTTTTTTAGGACATGTAAACCATACCTATAAAATCTAAACAGACACTCCATCCCATAGTAGTAATTAGCAGCAGCATCTTCTTGAGCCAACTTTTGGAACTCATTGTACATAGAATGTATAAACATGTTTCGCAGAAAATACGACCAAAACCTGTACAGTGTATTCATTTCCTGCATACCAAAAAGATAAGAACCCTGTAGAGTTAAAATTATGCACTTTAGGCACGCAAATGGATGGCCAAATGGGCAGTAGGCGGACAAATAGATACATCATACATGTGTATACACAGAGAGATGAGTCAGAGACCTCCACTATGAGTTCACGCGATTGAAGAGGAAGAATATTGCTATTTCAAAATTTTGAAAGCATTCATGTGATTTCCTTTCAACCGATATCGGATATGCAAATTCAAGAGAACTGTCATTTTTATAGATGTATTTTACATGTGGTTTTGTTAACAAACAGAACCTTTTAGGTAAAGAGAACAGTACTATCTGTAGATATTTATTTTATAGGTTGATTATAAACAGTCGCTTCTAGGTACTAAAAATTTGCACGGGAAATTTTTAATTTGTGTAAATAGTTGGATAGATTTTTTGGAAACTTAATGTTAGAACATTCTTGTAAATTTTTGGCACTATCTTGGTGCAACAATAATGAAGTGACTTCTGACTTTTTTTAGAAGAAATGAAATGAATTTTGACTTATCAAAACAAAAACCATAAAGGAACAAAATCAATAAGATAATCAAACAAATTTCACATTTTTCATATAGAGATGAGTTATATTTCCATATCTCACCCCCGAATGAACTTGCAGAATTGAAGTGATATTCCTCACATTTTAAACCCTTTCTATAAGAGGCAATTCATTCTCATTAGATTTAATATAACTCCTCTTTGTTTCCTTTCTATCATCCTCAAGTAAAGGGTGATGCTATCTAAGGAACTGGTGAATCCAAACACAAGGAAATGCAGAACCAAAATTAAGGGGAAGTAGGCACCTCACTGCAACCAATTCCAAGTTTCTTGCGATCACTCAGACAGCGCTTATGATACTTCTTGTACCTAAAAGGTGGAAAACCCAAAACCAACACTCAGGAGGTAAAAGAAAATGCACAAGAAATATATGTATAAATCGGTTTACATACAGATTTGTGCATGAACAAATGCATGCACATGAATACAAAATTCACAGAACATCAGTTCCTTATAAAAGTAAATCTACTCACAGCTGTTGGGTAAAACCATTTTCTTGTAGAAGCTTATGACTTGGATGCTGGAAAGGTGGAAATGGTTTCGGCATGGAACCCACAGGCGGACTACTACTAGCAAGATTGCTATGCGGGGAGGCACTCAACTTTGAAGGCCTTGACCTGGAAACATAAGAGTGCAGGTATACTAAGTTTACTGTTTGGCACACCAGAACCTTTTTTACAATTCTCTGATATTAATAAATTTCATAGACTAGCATTGTGCTCTCTTTTCTTTTATTTTGATCATCATAGACTTGCATTCTTGCTCTTTAAGGAATAATTAAACAATCAAACATATAACAATATACACTCCATTAGACCACGTCTAGGGATTCAGAACATACACATGACTATCAGGAGGTGTAGAACCAAAGAAAAACCCAACTGAATCGCTAGGTGGACTTTCAGATATTGTTCCTACAGTGTTCCGAGAAATCCCATGATTTCGGTAATTTCCTGAAAACAGCCGCTGCTTATGTATTGGATGCGGTTTAGTAAATCCTTTGTTTTGCTTCCTTCGAGAATTAGAATTTCCAGTGCCTTCGCTGTTTTTTCCTCCAGAAGAATGATCAGCATACTTTGATTTTGATAAAGCAGCAGCTGTACCAGAAGACCTCGTAATCTCATCTCTAGAGCCATAACTGGAGTTGTTAGATCTACGACTGGATCGCGTAGCTTTAAGCTCCTGAAAGATGAGAAAGTTTTCAAGACATGCTAATACTATATAAGTTGAATAAGCCAAGCATGATCTCAAAAAAGCAACCACCAACCTGCTCATAGAAGTAGAGGCCATCATTTATTGCAGAAGCAAGCTCAGTAGATATTGGTTTTGATTCTTTTCCAACAGTTCCGGATACCTGAGATGTCCGAGTGTTCTGTATCCAAACCACACAGATGAGATAATTAGCCTAATTAAACACTAATTCAGCTCAGAGTGTAGAAGAAATAGAAGAAGGGCAACGGAAATCCTGTGTAAACATAATAGCTCCTAAAATCATTTTCCACAGGCTTCTCCTGGGCTGCATCAGTAGCAGTGTCTTAGCTTTTTCATGAATTTGGCCAAATTAGAACAACTGGTTTTCAAACTTATTGTCTCTCACCAATACAAATTATCCTACTCACTTATGCAAATTAAGGCTGGGCAAATCAAAATCTTGTAAGGACTAAGGAGTACACAAAGATAGAATCTAAGGAAAGCATCAATTTATACATACCAACCACAGATATGGCTGTCATTAACTAGGATGGAAAGTTGAGATCAATCATTTACTTATCTACAACTTGAGAATAAAAAAGAAATTCACACTTTACAAGCAATACGTAAGTATTCCACAAAATTTATCATAATTTAGAGATATTTTTATATTTTTTAAAATTATTTTAGTCGGATCCCCGCACACGTATCCGTGCTAGGATCCATATCCCCGAATCTTAGAATTTACATCTCGAAGGATCCGACCTCTAGATCCGAACTCGTGCCGGACACCTGTACCCGTGTCCGAGCAACTTAGGTCAGGCAACTTAATAACCAATACTTCATGTAAGTAATAATAAGCTATAATCTTTTCATCTCCCAAGACCTCTTATATAAATTAAATAGTCAACAGCAGTTCATTCAGTCTACTACTTAGATGTGGTCAACTACCTGAGGCCCCGCGTTGCCGAAGTACAAAATGATGCATAGGCATCAATAAGGAAATGAACAAAACATTGAATTATGTAATTCAAATCCCATGAATTCTTTCACTACTACATTGGAACAAATAGTGAATGGGACCTTGGACTACCATCTCATAATTGCATACTCAGAAGATCAGTTAGACCCAAAGGGAAAGACTACTACTAGTAAGCACGCCCACACATCTTAATTTTGACCCAAATTAAGATACCTATTACAGGCACTATAAACCAAGAAAATATAATGGGATTTGTGATATGTAATGAAGGTAATACACAATGTAACTCCTATGTCAATCAGCGAATGAACAAATGAATCAAATTTTAAGATCTCCCATTTTATGCATCTAGAAACTAATGCTCCATCCCAATTTATATGGTGGTGTTTGACTCACCGCGGTTAAAGAAATAAAGGAAAACTTTTGAAACTTGTGGTCTAAAACAAGCTATAGATATTTGTGTGGCTATAAATCATCTCATTAACGATAAAGTAGGAAGTTTAAAGTTAAATTGTTTCTACCTAAGTATGACATTCTTGTTGGGACAGACTAAAAAGGAAAGTATGACACATAAATTGGGACAGGGGGAGTATCACCAAGAATACACAAGATCTGATAGTACTTGTAACATAAAATAGGAGTCTAATGCATGTAGTAGAACTCTTAGGAGTAAGTTTGACATAAAACCATGTAAAGTCAAAACACATGCCAACTTCCAAAAAGTTGCCTTTGGAACTGAAAGCACCCACATAAATGACATGGAAAGCAATTTTCTTACCCGAGTTACAATGACAAGTTTCTCAATAGCCTCATCATTAACATCCATCTCATCATCTTCCTCGTCAACTCTTCATAGAGCAAGACCACCAAGATGTTAACAATACAGTTAGCAATAGAGAAACAGTAAAAGAGATTTGCTCATATAAGTTTGTCCTCACAGTACGATTTTGTTGTTCCATGTGGAGTTAACAAAGAAAATCAGATAACAGTGAAAGCAATTATGATAAATTCTTTTTCTTTCTTAGTCTCATCTCAGAAGCTCGTAATTATATATCATTACTTAACATTTTTAACCTATTTTGGGCAGGCAGATGACCTCCTACCAGCTATAGCAAGAAGATTAACACACAAAAGCTATATATTTTTTTATTTATGCCCGCGAGCAGAACCAATCTTCTTCAGATACACACCAATCCCCAACCTATGAAGGAACAAGGATATAAGTATCGCAATATGAGTTTTCGGAGGGGGGGGCAAATGTTAAAAATGCATATAAAGCAGGCTTTCACCTTGCCCCTACTGATGAACAAGAAGACACCTATAATATGAACCAAAGTGGATAGATTCTGGGAGGAAAAAGATGATAAGAGTTGCAATGAGTACAAGCAAATGAAGCATAATATGACCCAATAGCATTAGATAAGCTGAACAAGTAAACAGCAGAGCCAGTCATCCACATATCCTTGTATCGATACAAGACTGCAGAACAAGCTATGAAGCAAACCAAGACCAAGCCCAGCCCAATTCAGGTAAGAAAATGCACAAATCAAGTTACAGCAATCATCTATACCTTCCACTCAAAGAGAGCTGGTCCTTTTTATGCTCAAGCTCCATCTCTTCATCAAGCATAAAAGTGCTTGAGAAATCATTAGATAAGTCATCTACAGCATCTGACGCCATCACCATTCTTGAATCACTTCCTTTGTCAACTCTGTGAGTTGAGCCATGGAACCCAGATTTCTTCCTACTGTTTTCTGCTTTACCAAAAACTGATACTTTTTTAGCATGTTTCTCTAATAATGGAAGCTCATCACCTACAGAACGATTTTCTTGGGAAGATGTCACTTGAGTTCCATCCTCTTTATTTTCTTTGACCTCCTCATTCTTTATATCGAGAACAACCTTCCCCACTAGGTGTTCCACTGGAGACAAAGGGGATGATTTCTGATCAGCACTAGCTGAAACCCACTTTGACCATTCATCACGTCTTCTCAACTTGTCACCCTACAGAAATTAAGCAAACTACACATGAACAAATAAAGACAAAGGTACAGAAGTAAATGTAAAAGGCAAAGAGGAAAGACATAAATGTATTGATAGGATAACTCAAAGCTCTTTGCACTAGCAAATTGCCAAATTAGTCTCAATACTTTACCCAAGTTGCAAATTTGTCTTCGAATGAATTTTAGTTCTTATTGCAAATAATGGTGTGAAGGAAGTAGCAGAGGAAAGACCAGGGAGGGGGGGAGCAAATAAGAAGGAAAACCAAGGAGGGAAACCTATAGGTTAGAATTTTACCTTTCTGTTTCTTTTGTTTTTTGTTTAACCTTTGCCTTACTTTTTCTTTTATTTTCTTCTGCTGTTCTGAGTTTCTTTACTTCATGTTTAATCCAAAAGGGCATTATAGGTCTTTGTCTGCCCAACAATACACCAAGCGACCATTTTGGAACCAATATTAAATGTTGAGGATGCAATATGAACAAACTTAGTTTGAGGAAATAGGAACTTATATGTAAAAATTAATTGGGAAATTTACTCTTTTTGCTGCCACAGGAAAAGGAAAGAGCCAGTTGGAGACCCCGGCAAAAGGGAGAACACTTTACCTTAACTTCAACAGTGCTTGAAGCCTGCAATGCATCAATGATAAATGCTATATCTGTACTCATTTTTTTAACCTGAAACACAAATGAAAAAGAAAATGATAGATGCTTAAATGTGTCACACCAAGTAAAAGAAAACAATATAATGGACTAATCCAACTACAGGTTTCACACATGAAAAATTTTTAAACAAAATTTGATGGACTTCAATATAGAAACAAAGCACTGCAACGGTGCAACCTATCAGTCACTTTAGCATAAATGTAAGCATATCTGAGAAATTTTGAGATTGTACCCTTTTGAAACCGGCAATAATAGAGATTGGAACCCATCCTTGATCATCCATCAAGGAAAGCAAGTAGTGATCATTCTGCAAATTCTGATCACTGCCAAGAAAAAGGCACATGTTCTCGATGTCAATCTATAGTAGTCAAAATTTTGTAGGACATATTGCAGGTAAAGTAATTGACCCACAAGAGTTGCATCTCTGCACCAATACTTCTTGAAATGAAATGTTCTAATAAAAAAACTACTACTTGAAATGTAAATCCACTAAAAGGAGGGATCATTCCTCCTGTTTTCTTAAATTTTTTGAGATAAGATGAATATTTTATTTAAACAGTATCAAGCTGATACTGTGAAAATACAGAGACAGACCTAGATTAAAAACTTTAAAATACTAAGCAGTCTAGAATGTCCAGCATGTTATGAATTTTATGAACTTCAAAACTTTATTTTAAAGGAGTTTCCATGAAAAAGCTATTATTCCTGCCCTTCAAGCTTACAACTGTAACTATGTGATATCAATGCAGTTAGCCAATACCACAATCAGGGAATAATTACATATATTAAGAAAACATAGTGACAAATAACATAAATAAAACCTTTTCCTGATATAGTACCTGAAATAGTACTCAATTTGCTTAATTATGCTCTCTCTCAAAGCTAATGTAGGTGATGGTGGAGTAGAGGCTCCGGAGCTGACAGGATGTGGGACAAAGAAAGGTGGGTAAGGCACTCTTACAGAACCTGGAGATGGAGGAGGAAGAAAGTATATAGCTCCTGGAGGACCTGTAAAATAGCCAATGGTCATTGTCATTTAAAAACAAATCAAAAACTAAGAATAACTTCATGAATAAATAAACAACTATTAACGGTGATAGGGATGACAGCACATAAGAGATGGAAATACCAGCTGGTTAGGGGAAGGGAGCACAGTTGATAAGGACGATATTACTGTCATCACAAAGGTCCAGTAAGTATAAGGGAGGGAGAAATAGGAGCAGTACCAAATTGCTAGTTACGTGCTAAAAGACGAGTGGCAGTCAAGCAACATTTAATGGTAAAACCATATTCCCTTATTTGTATTTCAAGAGTGATGTGATCACTTATTCAGAAAACTAGTTATGCGTAAATTACCTGAAAAATTTGCACCATCTATGTAGCCCGGAGCTGGAGCAAAAAATTGGGGCCTTAGGAAAGGCCTTAGTCCCATACTCTGTTGTAACTGAATGTCATCTTTAGAACCTACAGGACGCTGACTAGACAAGGCTGGACTAAACTGCCCACCATGTTCTTGTGTATTAGGTCTTCCTCTGTAGAATTTGGCATCGAAGTCATTTGGATCCACTCGTGATGGGGGACGAAACCCACCATTTATAGGGGGTACAAAAGCTTGGGCTGCAGCATCACCATCAGACCTGGCCACATGACCTTCAGCTCCAGGGAAAGGCCCTCGAGGGTGCTGGTAAGCATACCCCGGAAGAGGAATATGTGGCATAGGTACCATATTTTGATAAAAAGGAGGATATCCTGGGTGGTGGTAAGCCAAGGGTACAGGAAATGATTGCCCACCATTTTGGTTGTGCCTGGGGCCTGCTTTTTGTTGAGGTGCGGATGATGACTTATTTGACGATTTGGCACTAGAATATCCATGGAACTTTGGCTGCTCACCTCGGACCTACAAGACAATATACCATCAAATATATTTCATGGTAATACATTCTAATTCATGGTAATAGAGAATAAATAAATCTAAAGAGGCGTAATGACCAAACAAAGTCGCAACATGATAAATCTATTTGAATACTAGTTATGGTGCACTACCTTGCAAAATTTTCGGACAAAGGATATTTTGACACACGGTACAGATGGGAGAAAAGCACATATTGCAGATAAAACGGCAACTATAAAAATATGCCTTAATCTCAAACTACATGGCATCAGCTCTATAAGTCCTCAATATCCACCCGGGTGACTTTCAGCAGCAGCACGCCTCTTTTCTAGCAATTGTTCAGCAACGCCACCCCTTTTTCAGTAACCAATTTGGCCTTATTCCAACGGCAACGGGCCTCTTTACGATAATCTGATTGCACTAGACCTATTCCAACCAGCATTCGGCCATTTCAGGCAGCAATGTTTTTTCGTGACTGTACCAACAATGCCTCTTACAGTAGACGCACCACCGACACTGCCTCTTCAGGTCATTCGACCACTGACTTTTTCAACTTCTTCAAATATCTATCTAAAATGGTCACTTCCTTGAATTGAGAAGGTGTGTTAAAAGTGGATCATTCAGAATATTCTATAACCATATGATTGTTAAAAGTTAAAGGAATTATCAAAAATATTGTATAAATCATTCGTAATGGTTATGTCATAATTACTAAAAACCTACTTTTTCAACAAAACAATTAGTAATCCTGTAATTAGTAAAATATTCCTTCTTTGATCTATCTCAAAACTCCTACATAATACTGGTATATTGTCAACTAACAATGTCAATAAAAGTTTTCTCAATTCTCTTTCTTCATAATTCTACCTTCCGGAATTCATTCACTTCCGGATATTCTCTTGTATACATCGGCTTTATTGACATCAAAATGATGCAAATCTAATTCCTCATTGAGTTTTTTTTTTCCTTCACCAATAAATTGAAATATTTCGTTATTCAACCAAATAATTTTTTAAGTGTGCAAAATATTTACTAGTTCTATCCCAAACAATGTCATAGTAAAAGTATCTCCATTCCAATGCTCAACTTTTTTCTCCTTCCTTCACCATGAATATATGCATTCACATGTAACACATGAATATTCTACACTGTCAGTATATAAAAAAAAGGTTCGTTTTTTTTTAAGAATGGTAACAGTAACTGACAGTATAATAAATTATCAATCCAGTAACAAAAAAGTAAACCTTCTCAGAAGCAGCATTGCAGCTATCAGTCTCCGGCAGCGGAGGAAGTAAGGGAGACTTGGCGGCGGAGTTAGAATCACTAGTCTTAAGCATCTGCTGAGCATCAGAAAGTGCCGGCCATGAAGCAGAATCAGTATCCGCCGCCGGCGACGAAGGAGTATCGGTCGCCGCCGGAGTCTTCCACGGCGACTTGGGAGGCTCGCTCACCTCCTTCTGATCATCTACACTAGTCTCATTTTCCGCCATGCTCATAAACTACAGTTACCCTGTATTGCAGATAAATTAAAAGCTTAAAACTGATAATAAATTGATAGAACGCGAAAAGATGTGATTTTTTGGGGATGCCAAAGAGGAGGCGGAGCTATACGGCGGCGTGTGGTGGCTGTGGCATTGAGAGTGAGTGACTGAGTTGTAAAGAGAGAGGGACACTAGGGTTGAGGGTGTTTTCAGACAATGAGACAGGAATTGAATGTTGTCAAACAGCGACAGTATTAAATTCAGTACTCAGTAGTGTGTAAATTAATTTTAGTAAGAGTAATTAATTTGGTAAAGAGAAAAAATAAAAAATAAATAACATCCGAAAGAGATAAGATTGGACTATTCAGAGGATAAATCCAATTAAAGATACTTTCCCTGCTATGTTGAAGGACTAATTAATTTTAGTAGGATTTATTTTATTTTAATTTGTCTATGATATTTTTACTTTAATTTACTTAGTTTTGCCCTTTTGGGTATAACATTTGTATATTTTAGATTTAGGTATTTAACTCGTTAATATGAAAATACGGAAACCCAATAATATATATGGGAGATTGTCATAATATGCCTGATTTTGAAATTTAGAGTGTGTATACTTAAGTCATAATATCAGTGTATTTTGCATAATTCACTTTAGAACTAATTTTTAGTTTAATTGCATTTTGTTATCAAATATTCACTTTCAAATTTATTTCTTATTTCAATATAAGGGTGAGTTCGTGTGGATACGTCAAACTGAGTCAGAAGGGTAGTTTCAAGTTGGTTTAATTTTTCACAAGTGCTGATAAATGCTTGAGACTTATAGTCCAAGTCCAAAAAACTGTTTTTTTTTTTCGAAGGAAAAAGTAGTACTTTTGAACGGCAGAAATAATTTTGAAGAAGCTAAAAAAACTAACTTCCCCCATATGCACTTTTTTTAAAGTGCTTGGAAAAAAATACACTTAGAAGCACTTCTTTAAAACTTGATCAAACACGAAATGCATTTTAAATTAATTAGCCAAACACAAATTGTTTATCACCAAAATTACTTTTGAGAAAAGCACTTACGAGTTAAAAAACACTTCTAAAAATAAGATTTTAAAAGCTCGGCCAAACAAGCTAAGCTATTAGGTCCCATCTGTCATCTGGAAAATGAGAACTCTTCCAAAAGAAAATCATAAGCAGATCATAATAGTATACCTCCTTCAATTAAAGAACTTCATCAAACCGTTGAGGCAAATTTTCAGAAGGATCCAACCGAAAGCATATTTTTCGACGTACCAAGATCCAAGCATTACCATTTACATAAACAGCATACGCTCGGCATTGTCACGACCATGCCAAACTAGGTCAATCCCTATGCAGTACATGCAAAATTGTTCAAGAGAACCAAAGAGCGACAAAATGCATGGGGGACCTGAATATGGTAAGACCTAAATATTGTACCAAATAATTCACCTAAGAGATAGAGGAGCTTTGGGAGGTCATTGCACAAGGTTCAGATTCCATGTGCGGTTAAAACGGGACCTATTTACAGAAACCATTTGTCTAAGCATTCCATTAACCACATAAAGCTAAACTGGAGGCTCACAGGCCTCAACAG